ACATTATGAAATGGAAAAAAGTCCGACAATTATTTTAAGACATTTTTATGTTTAACATTCTTTTTATAGATACAAATATTTAGGTAAATGCTGTTTATAATAAACAGTATTAAACAGCATTTACTGGCCTGAATGTCCAAGAAATTTTCACAGAGAATATTCGTCCTCCGACATTCAGGCTGGTAAATGTTGTTTAATACTGTAAACAGTATTAAACATTAAACAGTATTATAAACAGAGTATTTACTTAAATATTTGTATTTATAAAAAAGAATGTTAAACATAAAAATGTTTAAAATAATTGTCGGCTTTGTCCATTTCATAATGTGTGACATTATTTGTTTACATTTGATACGCCATGAGCAGACATGAATATATGTGAGAGATTGATAGAAGATTGGAGTTTAAATACAGTAAATTCGACCTTGCTAACCGAACGCTCCTTCGTGGCCAAATCGGTAAAGACACGTCAAGCTAAATGACAGTTCCGTATAGGATACAGGTTCGAATACTGTCGAAGGAAGAATATTTTCTGTGAAAATTTCTCGGACATTCAGGCCGGTATATGTTGTTTAATACTGATTATTATAAACAGAGCATTTACTTAAATATTTGTATCTATAAAAAGAATGTATAAACATAAAATGTCTTAAAACATAAAATATATATTGAAATTCGAAAGGATAGTGAAGGTGTTGAAGCTTAAATAAGCATGGAATAATACAACACAAAATGTACGTTAACAAAATGTATTGAAACAAAGAATAGGTACACAATATTTACAGTTAGTTTGGTATATTCTTGGGAAGACTGTTCCTGCATAATGGGTTGACTAAATCGCAGTCGGGCAGAGTCTCTGGATTCAATTTCTTAATCTCTACTATCTTCCCCGTCTTCCGGTACCAACCCATATTTATATGGTCGGTAGTCCGCTTATGTAAATTAGGTGTATCATACACAACAGAAGGGAACGTAAATAAAGTTTAATTTAAAATCATGGTCGCATTTTCGTCCGTTTCTAGTTGTACCGTACGTTTCAATTTCGTTGGAATTCTCCAGATCTGTCCCAGTTTGGCTGGAATTCTCCAGATCTGTCCCAGTTTGGCTGGAATTCTCCAGATCTGTCCCAGACTAAAATGAAGTCAATGAGATCAGCGCTGTCGTTCCTCAAGTCTCCCTCATCGCTCCTATCATCTTTCTGCTTCATATTAATGATCTACCCATGGTCATTCTCAAATACTTCGTAAATATATATACAGATGATGATACTTCGGTGAAGGGTGGACCTGCAAATATCTGGATGACAAGAGCCTTACAGCTGATCTCTCTTTTGACCGAGATCTCACAGCTCAGTAGGGTATAGAGTGGTTTGTCCCATTCAATACATCCAAAACAAACCTTGCATAACTCTTTTATCTTAACTTCTTGTTTTCTAGTCAACTTTGATCTTCAAAGATTTAAATGCAATATTGTTATAGTGGAACACACCTATTCTATAGTTAATAGATTCTCCCACCTATAATAAGTAGGAGCAGTAAGAGTAACGAGTGAGTCGGTGAGTCAGTCGATGTCGGACGACAGTTAGTCGAATACTAAAATATCAGCGACCATAACTAGATTACTCTGCGTTATACCTATTATATCAAGTTCCTAACGTTTTGTACGTCGAACCTATTTTAGGACCGACTTAGTACAAATACAAACCTCCACTGTGAAATCACTCCACAACAAATATAAGTCGTTATCTTTTGTCTTCTTGATTCCTGTTATTTTATTGTTCTTTCTTGTCATAATTTTTCTTTTTTATCACATTCTTTCACACACAGCATCCCCTTGCGTCTTTGTGGCTTTATTGCCTTCCTTGTAGTGAAATGATTTTAAAAAAAGTGTAATTTAAAAGTATTGATGACTCAACCTATTTAGTTGATTTATAACGCATGGTTTTCCATGTAGAGATACAAAATATGTGAGAGAGCGACTGCAGACGAGATGCCAGATCAGAGTCAATTTGTTTCTAACGCAAGTTTCTTGTTTTTTGATATTTTGTTTTGCTTTCGAAAGGCATCTTTCGCTATTCCAATTTGCCTTAACCCTATTGAGCCATTGCGTTCCTGAACAATTTTAAACCTTCTGCCTGAGCTCCTGTGTCAAAATTCCAAAATAATTGGTATGTAATGTTTCACGATATATATAGATGTAGTTACAAGTGTTTACACACCGTTTAATTCCACTCGAATATATTACATTCACTTACGTGCTAATACCCTTGAGAAAGGTATTAACCTTCTTCTTCTCCCTCCAACTATGGGGAAACAGCATCACAAACTGCGTTCTATAGCCTTGGATGGCAATTAGTCTAGGAGAAGGACAGCTCTGAATTCAAAATCTGCGAAGATTCGTTTTGGAACCTTGTGGAACGTATTCGGCCCTTCAAAAAGTGTGGTTAGTTCTTCACAAAGCTTTCATCACTCTAATCAAATCATATGTACTGGTGTCTGTGCAGTCGGTTCCTAAGAACTGAGCTGCTTGACCCTCATACGTCCAATACGACGGGAGAGCCCATTATATATATATATATATATATATATATATATATATATATATATATATATATATATATGTGTGTGTGTGTATATATATATATATATATATATATATATATGTTTCATTAAATAATATAGAGAAGTGTTGTCTATTTATTTTATGTAAATTCTTTTCATAACGTCTTATAATCTTAATAACATCATTAAACGAAGAAAGAAAATCACAATATTGATACATATTTTTTAATCCAATCTAAGTTTTCGGCTTACATAAGCCATTATCAAAGATGACAATTACAGTACAATATATTATACAATACACGGACAAGATAAGCTTAGATTTGATTAAAAAATTCTGGTTGATCACCCTCCCTATTCTCCTGATTTGAGCCCCATATGACTATCATCTGTTCCCCAACATAAAAATAACACTTGACTGGGAACAAGTATCGCAGTGATGATGGCGTCGTAGCTGCTGTAGATGACTTTTTGACCGAGAGGTTGAAAGGTTCTTTACCAACGGTATCCAAACAATGCAACACCGATGGGAGAAGTGTGTAGATCGCAAAGCGGGGACTATATTTCAATATAAAACTCATTTGGTTACATTCTATAAGAGTATCTTGGTCAGCCTATGAACCTTTCAGCCAAACCTTGTAATTACTATGAAAAGTGAAGTGCCACATGGGATAAACGCTTGGGCGATCATGTCTTTTTCAATTCATGCTTTACTAGGTAGACGATCTACCCGTATTAGGATGCCGTTTCACTCTGCGGTACACTGGATACAAATCAAAGTTTTAGTCTGTCATACTATTTAAGCCATAGCTTGTGGGAAAAGCGATGGATTTATACCTTGTTCCAGTGTTTTTGTGCGTAAGTAAATATAACAACCCCGACTGGAATTCGAGATCGGCACCCCAAGTTCTCATTCGAACACATTATCGATTACTAAGAATCAAACCCTTAACCAATAGATTCGGAAACTAGAACGCTAACCACTGCACCACTAAGCACTCTCATTCGTTAATTATTATATATTCAATCTGCAGTTCTGTATTTTGTCGTCCCTTTTGCTGAAGATATCTGCGAATTGATCCATCTACACCGAGATGTCTGCCCAGGCAGCCGGTTCTATCCCAGTGGAAATATATTTACAAAGGAATTTTCAAAAGACCGAAATGCACTACTAAAAAAAAATAAATAAAATAAAAACGAGAAAGCAAACAAATGGAAATTGCTATGTATATTCGAGAAAAATTGCGAAAATGCGAAAAAGTAAGTAAATATTTTTACGATCGATCGATTCTGAAAGCCAAAATGGGATTCCAAATAAAACTGAAATGTATTATTATTAAAAAATATGGCAGCCAGACGCTAAATGTAAATGCACTCTCTTTCTCATATATATATATATATATATATATATATATATATATATATATATATATATATATATATATATATATATATATATATATATATATATATATATATATATATATATATATATATATATGTATATATATGTATATATATGTATATATATGTATATATATATATATATATGTATATATATATATATATATATGTATGTATGTATGTGTGTGTGTGCATTAGGCATTCTATATTTAAGCAGCAATATGACGTTTAACCATATTCTATTAAATATTAAAACAAAAAAACAACGAAAAAAAAAAACTGAAAGTAAGATGTACGTAATACTTTGTGAAACATTCAGTATAACTGACATCACATTATCAATGAGAAATGAATTTCAAGACAATAATGCTTCTAGCGTATGCAAATTTAAATGCCATGTATGTTTATCAATTTATATATTTTTCTGGATATTTCAAGGGAAATAATGCAGAAGTGTAGATGGTTGTCTGGATAGTTCGGGGAAAATAATTACGAAATTTATACGGTTGTCCCAACAGTTCGATAAAAATGATTAATAAATTTATATGGTTGTCATGATAGTTCCGGGGAAATAGTTAAGAAATTTATATGGCTGTCCCAGTAGTTCAGAAAAAAAAAAAAAAAAGCAGAAAAAAAACAAAAAACAAAAAAAAAACAAGGAAGAAATCAGAATGATAAGATGGGATCTTCCTGATCTTTGGCTCCCGTAGATCAATGGTTTTGAGAAAATAACGCGGGAAGATAAAGGTTTATGATTGATTAATTTGATTTTTTACGGTTTATCAACCATTTGTAGGTTATTTAAAGCCGGAAAGAATTTTAAATTGTAAGAATGTATTGGCGGAAAATAATGATTTACTGATATACGTCATACTAATTAACCCATAGGTAGGGAGAGAAAAGTTGGATTTATACCTTTCCCAGAGATATTTGCGCGTAAGTAAATATAACGAATCCGATAGGAACTGGAATGGGTCACTGCGATTTTCAATTCCGAGCCCTTATCAATTAAACTACCCATACATTCAAACATAGAACACCTGGTATTCTCAAGTGGTCACTCATCTAGATACTGACCAGGCTCGACGTTGCTTAACTTCGATGATCGTACGAGAATCGGTGTTTTAATAATGTTTTGGCCGAAAACCAACGCTTCATGAATAGTGATGTTCTAAGCGCTGCTGAGATGTGGTACAAGGCCTAAAGTATGGGGCACCCAGTGAGGATCGAACTCACTACTCAGTCGTAATTGATTTAGCAAGACAAGCTTTCTAAAGATTCCACCACGCCTCAACGCTTCATGAATAGAGTTACTATGAGAAATAATGCTATTTTAGAATAGCCGGCTGGTCGTTTTCAAGTATAGGCCTCCGGTTTGATAATCCCTTCTGCAGACGTCTGCTCAGTCATATTGCCTTTCTTGAACAACCAGAGTGCCAAATAAGCAACAACAAAAAAAAAAAAAACAAACAAAAAAACAAACAAAACAAACAAAAACAAACAAAAAAAACAAAAAAGAAAACAAAGGTGATTGCATATTTGTTTTATTCGGAAACCTCATTCTATTAAATATTAGAGGAAGACTACCCTATGAAGTTCCGATCAAAGTACTCCTCTTGTGACCTCATAACCTTATTTTGGCATCTTTTCAACTTTTCAAAACATATCGCCGCTGACCTAGTAACCCTACGGAAGAGTCTCAGTTCATTCATGTTCTGTAAAGTTTCTTCTGAATAGTACCAAATGAATTTAAATCAACGCAACCGGTTCGCAAGATGTTCAAAACGGCTGAGTACTTTCTGGTCAGATCATATATCACGTGGCATTCTTAAAGATATCCATATGTATGAGGTTAACTATAAGTAACAATAAGACTCGTCGCGTCGTACACACAACCATACGATTACGCATGGGACAATTTATCTTTGAGATCTGTAACTACTGAAAACGTGTTTCACAATCTGTGCGAAAAGAGAGAGAATAAAAAGGTTCAGACGAGATTGTGATGTAAGTAGAGTTTCATAATGTTTGCCCGAAACATGACTTGCGTCTGTGGACAAGAATGCAAATAATATGTAAATTTTAGCGATGCCCTAACTATCCATATGTGTCGTCACCGCATCCCCACGAGCGAAGTAAGGTCTCCTGAGTTTGGAAGTTTTGGCAAACTGTATAAGAAAGTTGGGGAATGAGCGAGAAAATGACAAATGTCTGCAGAATACGAAATATTTGCACAGTTTAGGACCCTCTTTGCTGATATAAAATCACGTGTATGCACATATGTGTACAGTAATATATATATATATATATATATATATAATTAGATGCAGATAGACATATGCGGCTATATATTCATGAATATGCATACTTGTTCGAGATTTTTACACAGTTTACATGTATATAGGTTTGTTTATCTATCTATGTATATATTAGCTCTAATTGAGAAGGTGTAAGTTTGGATACACACATACGTATACTTTTTTGTACGCCATTACCCCTCAGGATTTTAACGTGGATGTGCAATAGAAGGCATCACGGAATGAGAAATAGCAGAGACGAGTTCGAATCCCAGTCAGGTTCGTTACTTTAACTTATGTGAAAATACACATAGGCAAGGTAAGAATCAATCTCCTCCCCCAAACTATTGGTTAAATAGTAGAACTTATATCTAAAAAAAAATGTTATTGTCAATACAAAAATATATTCAATATTCACTTGTAAAAAAAAAGATTATTCTTAAAATCAAAAATATATTTCAGCTTTAAATAAAAAAAAACAAAGGGTTGGTAATCCGTAAAAAAGCAAATCAGTGAATCATTTCATGATACTGACGATCAATACTCTGTAGAAGCTAGAATCAATATGCTCTAAATATCTTGTGACCCAATGCGATTTCTGTTTGTCTATTTTCTGCCATTCATTTATGCTAATAAGTAAATCAGCTTACCCACTGATTTCGTTGATTCTTTTGCATCCAACATGTCCTGCGAATGTCAAATTCTCCGGTACATCTTTCCTCATTATGCTTCCCTGAAATATAAGATGGCGCTTTCTGATTGTAAATATAAGTTTCTTGTTCTTATTTTCTTTGAGACTGCCTCGTTGCTCACATGTTCTGTATTAGCTAATAGTATTCAACGCTTTCGTAGGTAGAACGGTATCTCTGTCGTTTCAAGTCTTTTCGTCTTCTGTGAGCAAAGTGTCCAAATTTTCATTAATCTTAGACTGGAATGAGACTAAAAAAGAATCCATTACAGTGATAGGCATCGCCGTGGAGCAGGCGATCTAGTTATCTTTTTAATGAGTTCTGTCTAGTGACTTGCAGCTTAGATATAAAGAGTGCCTAGTAGAAATCGAATTCGCCAGTTCATGAGATTAGGTTAAGACTTATTTTTCGATCACAAATGTCAAACAAAAAACAGGCACATGCTCAAGGATGAACATTTTACTTGAGGACTAATATAATTGTATTGGGTTTCCCATCGAGTCAGTTTTCGAAGATTAGATAAATATTCGTAATCCAAATATTTATTTTCAAGTTGGTTAAGTTGTCCCTTCCTACAAAGGCAGTCTCCTTACCATTTACCGTAATTCTGGGATAACTTATAATTAGTAAATATCTGAACGTGTATATATATATATATATATATATATATATATATATATATATATATATATTAACACATCGTTGAGTAGACGCCTCACATATCACTTAAAAAAAATTAAAAAAGATATATCTACCCACGATATACAATAAACTTTTAAGGAAAATCCTGGTCGAAAACGCAGACATTCTACATAAATCAAAATACCGGTGACATCTCTGTGGGAGAGGCCTTATGTATAAAATATCTCGTTCCCATTATAAACCTCACCTTATTCAGCAGTGTTAATGGGATATTGAAAGTTTTTTAAAAGTAAGAGAAAGACGCTCACTTGATTTCCTGTCGTGCACGTAAAACTCGGAACAAACGCTCCTATTTGTATTCGAAGCAACACAAAAGAAGTTCTGATACAGTCAAACATGAAAAGAAATTAACAACACCTCAAAATAACCCCACCAAGGAGTGGGGTTGAAGGAGTGGCCGAAAGAGCTTGGGACAATGGACAAAACTGTCATTTTTCTTCACTCCCTAACTCCATTCCATATTCATTTATTCCGAGTACTTTCGACATTAGCACACTGTCATCATCAGATAATTAAGTAAAGCGGAGAAAAACTAAATTCTATAGCTTTGGATGGCAACTGGTCTTCCGCAGTAAGAAATGGCAACCTATTGCGGGAAAAAAATCTGCTTCCTCAGTCATGTATAGTAAGCGTCTATCACGCCTGGCATATAACTGACTGAAAGAGACATGGAACATAGAAGAAAAAAAACTTGGTATAGTGTCTTGCGATAGAAAATTTAGATTGAATAAAACTAATAAAATATAGTGATAGTTAAAGACTATTCATCCAGTGCTGTGATTCTATGCTGCCCTTATAAACTGGAGTAATGTAAGAACAATATTCATGAAGAATCGATCAAACCAGTGTGTTATAAAATACAAAAAGACAATCATAATAAAATGGAGTGAAATTTATAATATTAATAGCAGAATAGCGAACTCAGAGTTATATCACCTCCGGGTGTTGTAATATAGAAATAATAGTAAGTTAATCTCTTAGCATAAGTTAATATGAAACATCAGAATTTTTCTCAATGTTCCAGTTAATCACACAGACATTTTTCAGTATATTACAATTTTTCTTTGAAGTGACAGGGTATTAACATCTGTGATTATTTATAAAAATATCTGCCATTTATGTAAACGTTGGAATGAAATCCTGTGATAGTCTAATTGAAACTTAATTTTGCCTAAAATCTAATTATAATAAAAATGGCGCAAGTATTAATTTCACAAAATGCTTTGCTCAAACTGCCGATGGACAAGGACACACTAATATACTAATAATGATGATTTTACGAGGGTTTGCTGAAAAGTTCTCGGTTTTTTTCACTTCAAACAAATGAACCGTTATCAGTTTAGTTATGGAAAGACTTCTTAGTTGGGTTGTGAAATTCCCAGCACCATTTCGTAAACAGGATATTTAATAGTGGGATAATAAATATTTTCGCCAAATCAAATATGCTTTGGGTAGAGATGATTGATTGTTTTTCTTTTTTTCGTTTTTTTACGGCTTTTTTTTTTTTTTTAATTACTTTTCTGGATATTTAAAGCCGAAACATTGTTTGGATTATATGAAAACTTCTTTTTTGCGAGTGTATATTACATAAGGTTTTTAAAATTTTGAGATTTTTTCCAGATATAAATCCAACTATTTAACCCATAGTTGGGAGAGGAGATGACTTAATGACTTTTCTAAGCATATGTGTATAAGTTAATGCAACGGGCATTTGGATTCAGATGGGTAATATTATATAAAGTTTTAAAATGTTGAGTATAACAATGTTTTTCAGGATATAAATCTTACTCTTATATTTTATAGGAAATGGGAAAATAATTATCAGGATTCCTTCGAAGTATTTTCTACGTAATATTACGTAGAAATACTTAGAAGTAATCCGGACTAATATTTTCCCACCTATAAACACATGCCAAATACATTTTAGTATATCTCCATCTTAAAAAAAATCCATACTTAAAGAATCTAAGATCAGACTACTAACAACTACAACAGGTTTAACCTAAGTTCTTGCACTCTCACATCAAACATTTTCCAGTCAATATACAGACACTACCATACAGAAACAAAATGTACACTAGATTCACAGACGCACGCGCGCACACATGAACAAAATATTAAGCAAGTCCCACATAGACCAACTAGAATTATGATACACAAACGCACAAGAATTATACACAAACGCTACCAGACAAAATTAAATACACGAGAGATCGACTTAACCAATGAAAAACAAACTTTTTAAAATTATTTTACTCCAAGGAAGGCGGACATGCCACTAGTACACAGGAGGTTACAGAGAGTGAAAGTGAATGAAAAGACTGAATATAGGGAGGGTTGAGGAAAAGACAAAAGATGAACGGCTTTCAAGAAGATAGAAGATAGCGATTGACGTTGCATTTATTTTTTTTAAACTGTACTTATCAAGGAAGTAAGAAATCGGAAGGGAGTTCCAC